ATGCATCACTAATCATGTGGCCTATTTTTCTTAGTTTTCTTTGGGTCGGAAGTTCCTGCACTGCTTGGCGGATGTGACGTGAAGCGCCTTCGCATTAAATAGGTCTGACCTAACCAGCAAAGTTTTATAATCAAGATGTTTTTTCTCTATACTCAGAAGAGAACGGCATCCTGCTCTAATCGAACACTAGTGGCAACTACAGCTAAGGTGATAAAGACAAAAAAAACATCAAGTAGGAGATTGAGATATGAGAAAGAGCCAGAGACTGGTGCCGTTCTAAATTTTGGCCTCATGTGAAAGTACCATGTACAATTTTTTTTCAATCACACTGTACGACGAAATTGCAGGGTTTCATGGTACAGTATAAGTTCACAGCTCATGATGTTTGTTCTCACACTGTGCGACCCAACACTCTGATGTGATCTACCTGCTCACACTGTACGTCTAAAAACCAGGAAGGACTCAGCTCCGCAATGACATGACGCTACTCGGACTTGTCTATCCGGAAGTAGAAGAGGAACATGAAGCTCACTAGAGTGAAACGCGCTGCCTTGGCAATTTGGGCAATTTTGTGCTGAAAGCCCTAAAAAGAAATGTGACGACGTATTTGGACAAAGACATGGCTGAACAAACATGGCTACTACGGTCTGTCAGTCACAGAAAGAACTCCATTTCACTCTCACCCCCACCATGCTTCTGTGTTTTTCGTCTGAGAGGAAGAAGAAGAATCCTTGTTTGCCCACTGAGCGATTTGCCCACAACAACCTTATGAAGGCCGACTGAATTTCAAACAAGTTTGATTTTCTTCCCACCTTACTACTCCTGATCGGGATGTGTTCGTTAAGAGGCTGATCGCACCTCGTTACCCCCTGTGCACTACACGGCGCACAATCAGACTGAAACTCTCCCCGATCGTAAAATTCACGCACGACTGGAGAATCGGCCCAAATAGGGCAAAAAAATCATAGTGTATGCCCGTCATAAGGCCTCTAATTAAAGAAACAAAAAAAAAAAAAGAAAATAATTTGAAACAATAAAATGTATGAAAACATTAGTTACCCTTAAAGTCTGTTTTTTTCAATAGATTTGTTTCATTTGAAAATTTACTCCAAAGTTTTTAGATTGTTTTGTTATTTATAGGGTCGCATTAGGGCTGCAACTAACGATTATTTTGAAAATCGATGAATCGGCCGATTATTTTTTCGATTAATCGATGAATCGGACAAAAAATATTTTTTATATTAACCTCTTTATTCCAAAATAAGCATTTTAGACAGAACAAACAAGCACACAAGTACAGGTTGCTCATTAACTGTACTGGTGCAATATGAAAAATA